AAACCAACTTACGAAGACAGCCCGAAGTTCTGAACTTAAGCACCTTTGCCAACAAAAATTATGTAAGCATTATCGTCCGGAATAAACGGTTTACCTTTGTAAACACTTGTCTTTGCTGCCTTTAAAAACCGCCACCCACATACGCTAAGACCTTAGACCATCCCGATGGTAGGGAATAAAAATCTCCTCCCCCAATCGGCGTTCTTACACCTATTTTAGACATTTAGTCAATATTTTACTTAATATGAGGTAAATAAGGCATTAGATATGTTTGTGTTAACTAATGCCTAAATAAGGCATTAGTTAACATAAACATATTTAATTTTTAATGTTATACAGTCAACTTTGATACAGCACTATCTTTGTGAAGTGAAAATAAATACTTGTGAATAGATTTTTCTCATGAACTACAGAACCTTTCAGTATTTGTATATAACTAAATGTCTATCTCATATTACAATATACTTTATCATCATCAAATCCTGTGGCTTTCAAACTCTTGCTCAGATCTCATTACTACATAATTCTTACTGTTTGAGATATTTCAATTTGTGCCACACTCAATTTAATGGTAATTTTAGAGGTAAAAAATTGGTGCTGATAATTCAAAGTTTGAATGAAAATAATTTATGAAATAATTCAAGTTATGTTTATTGTTCCTATTATTAATGTTAATTAATGACTGAAAAAGTAATTAGAAAACAAACAAAATAAAAATTTATATTCGTGTGTAGATATTTTGAAAGTTTTCCTGATATAAGATTTATTTGATAAAATGCTAACATGATTTTTCTGTAAACAAAGTCTATTAAAAATGCTATTTTATGCATGCTATTCTATTTTCCTCCAACCATAAATAAATTCATATTCTAAAAGTAAATTTTAATATATCCAATACCAAATCCCAATCTATTTGCAAAAACATTTAAATATAGATTTAAAGAAGACAATCCATGAAAATTGCTTATAAAGAAACATATACACATATGCCGGAGACTTACAAACATTGAACTGTTGTTACAGCGACTGAGAAGAAATAAAAGTTGACACCTCAAAAATTTTAGTGCATGTTCCCATTTTAACAATTTCTTTTACGGATTATTTTCTTTAAATTTATATTTTGCTTCAAAAGAAATGAATGTTCTGGGAAGACAACAGCTGATGATGATGACATTCAACAGTTGAGTCCACTTTTTTACCCGGAATTTGGCTGCAACATATGCTGCTTATGTGCAAAGGAAACTGATTTTTTTATCATTTGCAGTGCCAGAGTGGTGCATTTTTATACTATTGATTTATGAAAAATGTCTTCTATACATCCTAAAATGTCTCCGTAAGAAATTTGGTTATGTTTGGACTGCTAAATCTCTCTCTAGACAACACTGAATAGAAGTACTTTAATTACAATTACCTGATTTTTTATTAATTAGAGACCCAAATAAAACAAATATTTGTGTTTTTCAAGTAAATTTTTGTTTGACTCCTTTATAATAGATGAATTTATTTATTTCTATGTAAAAATTGGAAGTCTGTAGAAGTAATTTTTTAAAATATTCTTTTTCGTGTTAAAGTTTTAATACTTATTACTCTAGACATGTTAATCCTTAAATATACAAGTATATTTAAGGATTGGGTCTCAAATATATTATATATACGTGTGGCCCAGAGGAACAAAAAGGTTGGACACCCCTGCTCTAGGATAATTATGTTCTATGTAATCTATATTAGATTAATAATACTATATATATATGCAGATCATCATCTCATTGAATTAGATAAATGTGTACCATAGCACATTAGATTTAATGTCTTGAGTAATTCAAAGACAAAATGCTGTTTTACTACACGATGAAGCACTATCACACATCCGCGTAATGCAATACTATTATATCCACTACTAGAAAACACAACTGCCTGATAGACAGATTGGTCTAGAATGGCAATACTTGCCAATCCCATGTTTACCTATGTGAGACCCTGGAAATAGCCCCTCAAAAAAAGGAAAGATACGTAAAAATTTGTTATGTTAAATCGTCAGGAAAGCAAATTATAAGTGTCGAATCGGCGACACCCGACTTTGACGTCGACGCTCATCAAAAGTTGACAGAAAAACCAAATTTTAGATATAAAAAGAAGAAAATTTAAAATATTAAAAGTTAAGACGCAGTTTAGAAAGCAAAACGAAACTACATAAAAAAAATGTCTAGATGAGTGAAGGTGTCATAGTCAACAATTAAACGCGATCAGATTCGAAAAGATGGTGTCGGATAAACCATCTCCAGCCGACCTTTTCCACGAACTTAACGAAGCTCCATTTACACCTGGAGACAGGTNCGCCAACTGATGTCTTTATAAATTTAAAAATTTAATCTGTAATTTTTACTTCTTCCTTCTAAACCTTCACTTAAAGCATAACGAAGGTCGATCTATAAATACAGTTTAATAAATATTAATATTTTTCATCACACTCACCTATCTTCAGTCATAATTAAAGGAGCTTTCTGAAGGTGAATTTTTGCATATTTTACTTGTAGATTTTCACCACGGGCTAGAGCATTTTCTATATGATACATCGAATATTTATGTAATGAATTTCTAAGTGCTTTATTCAAAAATTGGTCGACAACGGCAACAGACCAATGAGATGGAATAAGCTTTAAAACCTATTAAAAAAAAAATAGTTTTGAATAAATTACCATCAGAAACTTAAAAAACAAAACAGTAATTTTGTTATATATATGTATACTACGTACGTTTAACTATAATTTTTGATAACAAAAGTATAAATTCAAATAATTTTAAATAGTTAATAAACAATTTGGACTGGCGACTAAAATGTATGGTTACTTTTATTATTTAATGTGTGATAAGCATGATGCAGAATCAAAAATTGTATAGTACAAGTAAGTTTTTTTGGATGTTATACTTACTTTTGCAGCATCAAATTCTGCCAGTTCACTATTCAAGAGCTCTACTGCTGGAGTGATTAGTTTTTCCTGTATATTTTCACTAAAAGTTCATAAAAAATACATTTAAATTCACTTTAAAAAACAATCTTCTAGTTTATTTTTATATTTCTTAAAACAGTTTTATATATAAATTACAATCAACTATAATTAAAAAATTTTCTAAAACTATATTTTTTATGGTTCTTCATATAAAAATATTCAGTTATATATTCAGTTTTTTTCCAGTCATAGCAGAAAATTGAATATTAAACATAAATTTGACATTATAAACAGTTTTAAAATTTACAATGAAAGCCTTAACATCCAATATATCTCCAATTAATCAATATAATTCAAACTGTATAAGTGAAAATTTTTTCTGAATGATTTAAATTGTTTTAAAAACTAAAGTTAATTGGAATGCTCAAAATATAACAAAATATTGATCAACATTCTAAAAGTTAAACTCAAAAAAAGAGAAGAAAAATAGTGTTTTAAAACAGTTAAAACACAAAACAAAATTTTCTTAGTACTTTTGGACTGTCAATGAATGCCCAAGTGGCTAAGGTGGCAGCCTATCACTCTGGAGAACCCAGAATTGAATCCAGACATGATGAAACCCACAGGAATTTTTTGGGGATGGTTTGACCAGATACGTCAAGCCACATCTCTCAGCATCCAGCCGAACACACAATGGACTTGCTAAAAGAGCCTTGTTAATGCTCACAGTAGAAGAAAGAATTAAAAAAAAGTACTTTGACTGCTTAGGTCCATCTTCAAGGGATTTAAACAAAATCCAAATATAACAAAAAAAATTTGAGATTATTTGAACATAATATTTTAGAACATTTTCAACTCAATGCAAGGAAACTTTAAAGTATATAATCTATTCTGTTAAAAGTCTATGTCTGTAACGCATATGCAATAGATAAATAGAGCATAAACTTGTCAAAATGCAAAATCACATCATCTCACATCCAATTTTTCACAAAATATATATATTTTGCACAACTGAGCAGTAATGATTGATGCATAAAGCATCACCCAGCAGTATGTAATGACCTGTAGTAAAGCATACAAAACATAAAGACACATGCCCCTTCATTTTTCTTACTCCACTTTACTTATGTCCTAATTCTACTTTCGTTATAAGCCTTGCTATATTTTATTGCATAAAATTCTGTTACATGTCAATTTTTAGAACATACTGCACTAAAGAAAAGAGACTGTACTGGGAAAGTTTTCTTCTATGTTTTCACAATTTTGATCTTATTAAAACAGTACTTTCGTTTTAAATGATCAATATATAGCAATGTAATATTGACGTCTTGAAATTAATACAGGCATATGCCATTTAAAGACAAGGATACATTCTGAGAAACACATTGTTAAACAACATCTTCATTAAGTGAACGTCGTATAGTATACTTAAACAAATTTTATATGATATAATCTACTACTTATATAGGCTATATGTAGAACAATTGAAACACAATGGTAAGTATTTATGTATTTAAACATAGACAAAGTAACGCAACTAAAAATGTTTTGGTTCCATTATAATTGCATGGACCTCCATTGTTAAGCAGTACATATTTGTATTTCAGAAATAATAATAAAAATATAATGCCTCAATGGAGTAGAAAGCATCAAACAAATTCTGAAACTTTTATATGCTTCCTATTCCATTAAAACATTTTTATATCTTAAAAATAGTGGAGAGCTACTAATGATAAGACATAAGAATTGCACTGTTGTGATTTGATTACTCTAGTCGACTTTGAAAGCTTTAAAGTATTACCAAATAACCAGAAAAAGTGAGTATTGGTGTTTAAATTCCTTTTGGTGGCAGACAATAAATGTTTTATTGCACACAATACAAAATTATAAGGAAACTTCGCATTGCACTTAATACCTACTCAAGACTTGAGTCCAAATACACTTCGAGTAACGTGTGGAATAATTTATGTCGGACTTTCTCGTCTCTTCCCTTGGCATTTTCCAAGCAGTATTCTTCAGCTGCCAGGTAATCTTGCAGTTCATGAACTAATATCTTTAAGGCTTTCTGATGTTCTTGTAACTATGAGTATATTATAAAATGATATTAAAAATTATCTGATGAATATATTAAAATAAATTACAACTAAGTGTAGAATAAAATTTGTATGCAGATATGTATTAAGAATAATTGTGTGTTAATAGGTTGTGGCATTAATAAATTTAAATGCAACATTATGTAAAAGTCATTAACAATAAATTACCTTACTATACAGAATAGAACATTCAATGTGTAATTTATGTTCCAAGGCTTTTCCTAATAATATCTGTACACGATACAATGAAGACTTGCGTAATAAAAACTGCAGCTTTTTCCTGCAAAAGAATTGAATAAAATTCTGTATATTTACTTATCTTAACAATAAATTTTTTTAATTTAAATTTTATTATAATGAATTAGACACAGTTTAATAATTAAATATTAAATAAAGTTACGAATTTAGTTAATAATTAAGAAAATAAAAAATAATTATTGCAAGAATAAAAAATTACATAAATCTACAGCCAATAAATCAATAAAAATGTCAAAAATATAATTCATAATTAAAACTGCTACAGTATATCATGCAATCATTTATAAACAACCTCATATAGCAGCAAGAAAGTTTTATTAAACTGAAAAAAACTAACATTTTCAGTCATATTTAATGACCTACCCAAAAATCAAGCATTTACAAATACTAACGGAAATAAAACAAAAATATGCAAATGCCAAATGTGTTTAAATATAAAAATATAATAAATTAAAATTCTATGATCTGCTATGTTTCCGTGATGTGTGCAACAACCAAAGACAAAAATTAGTGATGAAATGCATGTTGCAGTATGTTGTATAAACCTCAAATCAGGTTTTCCGAGCACTCGGTATCGTGTTTAGGTCATTGTAGTTGATAGAGTTCTTATTTAAACATTGATTTATATAGGTTTCCAGAGCCAAAAAACATTACTTTTTTTCCAGTTTTAATTAAACATTTTTGCTGCTGTACAAGGTTGTGTGTAGATGATTAAAAATAGAAGCAAGTGTTTAATTTTTGTTAACATACAAATTAAAGTACCGTAGATTATTTTACAAAATTTTCTCACATGTATTATTAATGTGAGATTTAATTTTGCTACAGATACCAGCAGCAACTTAAATTCAATACGGTGTACTCTCGCTAATTCAAACTTTGCTTAATCCAAACCAATTTTGTTCATTTTCTGCTAAATTTTTCAGCCAAAAATTAAATAAATAAATAAAGGCAGAGATTTATTTTTTTATGATGATGATGAATATGTAAAATAATATTCAGCTATTCATTTTAACATATACTAATCAGGTAACAAGATAAATTTATTATTGGGCAACATTTTGGCTAATTAAATATACAAATGCTACGTAATTTGAACTAAAATTAGGTGATTAACTTGCCAACTTGTATTGAATTTAGTAATTAGAATTAAGTTAATTAATTTAGAATATTCTGAGAAAAAAATTGATTCAGAACTGGATCTGAACTCGCAATTCCTGCTTATCTTGCAGTTGCATCATCGATTACAATAACCGGACCTCAGTCCAATCTTCGCTTCTAGATCAATTAATTTAGAATTATTTGCTGTTTTCATTTGTAAGAATAAAATGTATCACAAACAAATCTCTCAAAATATCTAAACAAAATTTATACAGTATGAATGTTTAGTTCCAAATAAGGAGATACAGTACATATGAACAAAGTTGTAAAAAAGGGAAGGCACTGAGGTCGGCGTTATGTGTGCGTTTTTTATTCGCTAGTACTTTCGACGAACATATAGCCGTCGTCATCAGGCGAATTATCGAAAGAATTAAACGGAAATAATCCGATTTGGAATAGAA